GTGGTGGATGCCCCATCCCTGGAAACATTCCAGGTCAGGTTGGACGGGGCTCTGAGCAACCTGATGTAGTTGAAGATGTCCCTGCCCACGGCAGGGGGGTTGGACTAGATGACCTTTAAAGGCCCCTTCCAACCCAAACTATTCCATGATTCTATGAACATCTACTGCTTTTTGAGATGACTTGAAGAGGGGAAGCAGAGATGAACCTGCAGCACCACTTCTCAACAGAGGTCCGTAAGCGAGCGACTTGGTGCTCAAGGACTAACAGTGCTCCCTGCAATCCAGCAATACATTGTTTCCCATTACAGGTAGCCCTGGCTTCAACTGCAGACAAAATTTGGTGGTTTTCTTAAGAAAATGAAAACCAAATGTGACTCCTAGGTCACTATGTCCCTAACAAGCAAAACAACACAGCCTCAGATAACAAATTTTAGCACCAATTCTTTTTTCACTGGTTAAAGACATGACAGTGCAAGGACAAGCACTGTCTGAGCCAAAATGAACAACCTATGTAGTAGTACTTAGTGGCAAATTAGACTCACCACTGCCATCATCCTTTAGACTTCTTCTATGCAAGACAATTAGTGGCTTCTTCAGGCACATCAATAAAGAACTAAGTCAAGCAAAACACTCACAAAGAGCTTTTAACATCTGGACTTAAAGCTATAAAACCTCAGAATGTTACTTACACACTCATATGAGAACATTAACATCTGGAGGAAAAGACGTATATTGTAAAGATAACTGTACATATGTTGACTTCTGATTTTCACTCATGAGGTATACAATAAGCTGGCACCCAGAAGGTAAATCAAAACACACAGCAAAGCTACAGGCAAGCAGGTAAGTGAACTGAAGCTGTATTGCAGAAGCTACCTAAAATGACATCTAAATCATAGAAGCTAAATTGCTAGCATCTCTTCTACTTAAAATGTCTCAGTTCTAGCTCATTTCAAATCAACTTTTGCTTTTCCTAAAGACCATTTCTGTATTGCTAATTTTTCATTAGCTTACATCACTGCCCTCCCCAAATTTAAACATGTAGCAACAGAAGGAGGTATTAAAATTTTAAGTCTTCTCTTGTCAAAATACATTTTTACCTGATTTTTTTCTTTAGCGTTTTGGGATATACAGGGCAACACTAAATTTTTCAGAGATGCATCTATTCATTGTCGTGGCCTCATAAAATCTGATGCATGAAGTGCTGAAACCAGGCAGAATACTTCTCAGTCCACCACAGAGACCAGAGATTGATAGATACAAGCTCTGACTTTATACTGCAAATTCCCTCTAAAGTCCTCTGCAGAAAAGTGAATTTCCATTCTTTGTCTGCAAACCAATAAAGGAAGAATTGTTTTCTGTTATTGTCTACTGCTTCATTTCTATATTACAAATCATTCTGACCTTCAAGCTCTGAATTTCCAAGTTTTATAAAAGGTCTGCCTTCCTAACAGTTCTCTTGAATGAAACTTTACCGTTATTCGGTTAATTCTGGAGTAATGAAAATGCCTTTTTTTAAGTGGCAGGAGTTCTGTTCGGGGAAAGTATAAAAACTATCTTTCAAATTTCAAGTACCACAAGATTGTTAGTGGTGCCAAAACGACAAGTTCATTTCAAATAATGTCTGTAATTAAACAAGATATCGAGGCAAAAGGATTTGATCTACATAGTGAATGGTTTTCAAACTTCTACTGTGGAAGAGTCTGCACAGTTTGATCCGAAACTGGACTAACAAAAAAGAGAAATTATGCCATTCAACGGCCATGAATTTTAGAATTGATTCCCTGATACTTATCAAGGCTGTTTTTCAAT